TGGGCCACTGGGGCGGACTGTTGTTACCTCCTGGGGTTGAGGTGCCCCCCCACCACCGAGACAGTTCCTGCGTTCGCGTGGGCCTTTAGCCCGTTCGGCCGGCTGAAATAATCCCGTCGTCGGTTTGGCCGCTGCGTCGGCCCGTGGTGCTCCGAGAAGGCTCGCTCAAGGCGCTTCGCCCGCTCTCGGCATCCTACACTTCATGTTGCCCGCGACGTACGCGGGCCGGGACACGCCAGACGCTGGCCGCAGCCATTTCGGGTGCCCATCCTTTGCGCTCGGCAACATGCAGTGGCTTCCACTTCGTCGCCCGTTGGGACGGCGGCTTCTGACCCCCCTTTCGCATGGGCGTGGTGACAGTACGGTCGGCCGCTTGTCGGCATCGGCGGGCAAGGACGTCGGTCAGGCACCGTTCTGGCGCTTGTGTTAGACGTCGGCTACAGTCACAGGAGTGCCTTCGAGATGCGCAAGCCGCACACCGCCTTGGTACCAGGGGCCATCGCGTGCGCTCTCCTTTGTGGTCGGCCATCTCCAGGCTTTGGCCCGAACCCCCCTCAGCGGCGTACAGTCTGGCCGACGTTCCAAGTGAGTGAGTGGTTTGGCACCTTCCGCCTGGCAGTCTGGCCCCACCTGCGGGTCCGACCTTTCCGCCCTCCCCACCCTCGCTGGCACGCGCTCAGCGGCTGGTTCTTCCCATTGGATCCCTCGCTGGCACATGTTCAGCGTTGTTAATTTTCTGCTGCTGGCACATGCTCAGCTGCTTCTTCTTGGCCGGCACTTGTGCTGCGACGTTAATTATCTGCCTTCCCGTGCGCTGTGTCCCAGCCTCGTTCACTCCGCCCTCTGGACTTTTCCTTGCGGGCCGCGAATCAAAAAAGTAACCCCAGCAGTCCGTAGCCTGGCTCAAGCTGTCTCGGCTCGAGCCCGCCCCTGCTCAGGTTCGGCGCTCGGGCCCGGGTGATGGAGTCCGCGGCGGCGCGGCGGCGCCGGCAGATGCGCGCGGCCGTCCAGCGCCGCTTGGGTGCCGCTGGCGCCGTGGGCGCCGCGGGCGCCGCGGGCGCCGCGGGCGCCGCTGGCGCCGCTGGCGCTGCCGGCGCCGCGGGCGCCGCCGCTGCCGCGGCGCCGCGGGCGCCGCCGGCGCCGCCGGTGCCGCCGGCGCCGCGGGCGCCGAGCGCGCCGCTGGCGCCGCCGCCGCCGGCGGGGCCGCGGGCGCCGCGGGCGCCGCCGGCGCCGCGGGCGCTGCTGGAGCCGCGGGCGCCGCTGGCGTCGCGGGCGCCGCTGGCGCCGCCGCTGCCGGCGGCGCCGCGGCTGCCGCCGGCGCCGCCGGCGCCGCGGCCGCCGCTGGCGCCGCCAGCGCCGCGGGCGCTGCCGCCGAGGCCGCCCAAGACGCGCCGGGACGCTGGTGCCGTGGGCGCGGAGACGCTGGCGCCGCTGGCGCCGCGGCTGCCGTGCGCGCTGCCGGCGCCGCCGACGCCGCGGGCGCTGCCGCCGAGGCCGCCGCCGCGGCGGCTGCCGCCGGCCAGTGGGCCGCGGCCGCCGCCCTCTCCCGCGCGGCGGCCGCCGCCGCCTCCGCGGTGACTGCCGCCGCCGCCGGATCCCCTCCGGTGGCGGCGGCGGCCGGCGGCGCCGTGGCCGGCGTGTCGGCCGCTGTCGCGGCGGCCGCTGCTGCCGCCGATGCCGACTCCCCGCCGGCGGCGGCGGCGGCGGTGGGCTCGGTGGCCATCAGCTCGAAGGTCGGAGAGTTCGACGAGACGGTGAAGGTTGACTGGGCCCGTTTGGCGACTGCCCTTCTCCGACTGCGACGGATCCGACCCGCCGACGAGAGCCTCGCTGGAGTGGGGATGTTGGCGCTTGCAGACAGTGTAACGGAGGTGGCGAGGGACTTCGGCCTCGAGGATGCCATCGGAGAGTTCATGGCATATCGGCTTCGTCACTCAGGGCCCAGCGCGGACTTTCTGGCAGGGCGCAGGACAATGGCCGAGATAGAACAAAGAGGTCGTTGGTCGTCCGACAGCAGTGTGAGGCGGTATCCAAAAATGGGGCCGAATCAACGAGCTTCTAACTAAGTCGGCGTTCCACCGGGATGCGCCGCCAGGTGTTTGATAGCTGTGCCGAGGGCCCTGCAGAGTGCGGACGCGCCGCTGCAAGCGCCTGCAGGCCTACGCGTGCGCCGATGGTTCCGTTCTTTCTCGAGAAATTCGCTGGCGCTTCGAGAGTGTTTCGTGAAATGGCTCGACTGGGGTAATTGGCTATCGTTTTTGATAATCGTTTCGGAGTCAAGCATGATATGTGCAAGCAATCTCTCGTAAGGTGCATTCGAGGCTGGGTGATGTCTGGATTCGTTCTGGGCATTCATTTCGGAACTCCGTGGGGGGCCGCAGCCCTTTAAGAGATCTGCAACGCATTCTTGGGCTTCTTGCGTTGCGAAATGGATCTGAGAGATGGAAAATCGACCTCGGTAACCAAACAATGAAAAGGACGGTGGGCATCGCGCAAGTGGCGTCTCTGCATGTGGTTCCGTTTTGCGTCGAAAATCCGTGCAGACGGTCCAGTTGAGACGTCGTAGAGCAAGTCGTGAAATGAGAACTGCTTTCTGTCAATGGGGAACGCCTCGGATGAAGTCCACTCTTTTAGTAGCTACTTTCTTGCCGTTCGATTCTCTAGCTCGTAGGTGCAAGCTCTGCAAGGGGAGGTGTGCCAGAACAAATAGTCAACCCGTGTCTTTAACGGGCAAAGACGAACATGGAATTTACAGAACGGGAGTGGCCGAGGAGTATCCAAAGAGTTTTTTTTTTTTTTTTTTTTTTTTTTTTTTTTTTGCAAATCCTTCGCCAAGGCCTTTGTACATGGTACCTGGTGCCTTGGGGCTACCTCTTTTGCTGCTGTGCTATGAGTGTGGTTTTTAACCGGGGAGGGTCCCACCGCCGCCCCTTCCCCGCCACGATAGAACGGTTCGCGCGTTTGGAGCGGAGCTTCGCTTCAGAATTCCGTGAGTTTGTTGGGCTGTCTCCCTGTAGGGAGGCTGGGGCACAACGCTTGAGATAACAAGTGGCCGCGCCGCCCGTGTTGTAAAAACGAGTTGCCCCCTTTGTCTGGGCCCAGTGGCTCCCTGTGGCCCCGGTGGCGACAAGCTGGCTGTTGTCTCACACGCACAGAAGGCAGAGCCTACTAGTGCGCGCACGTCTTGCTTCAGCCTGTTCTCCGTAGCGTGTGTGGCTCCCTCCCTCCTCCCTTTGCGCTGTCCTTGTTTCTTTATTTCTTTATCCTGTGGAGCGGAGTTTCGCTCCAGAATTCTGTGAGTTTGTTGGGCAGCCTCCTTTTAGGGAGGCTGGGGCACAACGCTTGAGATAACAAGTGGCCGCGCCGCCCGTGCTGTAAAAACGAGTTGCCCTCCTTGTCTGGGCCCAGTGGCTCCCTGCGGCCCCGGTGGCGACAAGCTGGCAGTTGTCTCGCGCGCTCAGCAGGCAGAGGCTGATTATGATGATGATGCTGGTGATGATGACGCTGCTGCTGCTGCTGCTGGTGCTGCTGCTAATGATGATGATGATGATGATGATGATGATGATGATGATGATGATGATGATGATGATGACGATGATGATGGTAATGATGATGATGATGATGACGATGATGACGATGATGATGATGATGATGATGATGATGATGATGATGATGATGATGATGTTGATAATGATGATGGTGGTGAAGAAGAGGGGGGGGAGGAGGAGGATGAGGAGGAGGTGGAGGAGGTGGAGGAGGAGGAAGAAGAGGAGGAGGGGGAGGAGGAGGAGGTAGAGGTACATGATGAGGAAGAGGGAGGATAAGGAGCAGGAGGAAGAAGGCGAAGTGACGTGTGACATGTGATCCAATGTGTGCGTCATTGGCGCCCAGCGCCAGCCCCCTGTCGGATGTGCACCGATCCACCAAGCTGTGCGGGCATCGGAATGCAATGCGACGGCGCTTGCACGGCCAGAGAAGGCCTAACAGTTGAGGAAGTGAGAATTTCATCTTCTGTGCCTCGGCGGGAGCTGGCGGAAGTGGAGCATCAGTCCGTTTGAGCTGGCGGAAATCGGCGCGGCAACACAGCGGAAGTTTAAGCGCCCCACTAGCTGTCGATACCAGCGTCGAAAGTTGGCTCGACTGGGAAGCTGGCAAGTTTTGTATATGTGTTTGATCCTTTTGCTCAGCCTGGCGCTTTCATATTCATGCTTCTAGGTGTATTGCTTCCTTGCATGATGTCAAGTCCTCCTGAATCAAGCTTACACAGATGTGGTCGTTTTTTTGTCGACGTTTGTTTTCACGGCGTTGGATGCCAGGTGCGGGCGTGAAAATCAGACGACCTATTTTCTTGGAAGAGATGATGTAGTGGTGATATTTTTATGGTTGTCTTCACCGAGAGCGCCATGGGGCCCCGCGTGCGACATTTGCCTGCTGCTCTCGCTAGACGTAATTCGTATTTACGCAGAGTAAGTGGACCCACGGGCTCGGAGGGAGGAAGCAAGTCATAGAGGCTCAAGGGCCAGATTCCACAGCACCCCGAGCCAGCCTGGACTTCCTGCGCCGAAGCTCGGGTCGGACGAAATAGGGGGATTGGGAAGGGGGAGATGCAGCTGGGGGGATGTGGAAGGGGGGATTGTTAACGGGGGGATTGGGAAGGGGGGATTGGGAAGGGGGGGAGTGGGAAGGGGGGAATTGAGAAGAGGGGATTGGGAAAGGGGGTGGCGACGAAATCTGCTGCATGCAGCTGGTTTCGGCCCCGCCGCTGAGCCTTCTCCTCCAGACGCGGGCGCCTGTGGCGCGGGCGCCTGGAGGCGCCAGGGAGGAAACGAGATGCACGAACTCATTCGCGAACCTCCCTGTGCTATCCCCCCCCCGCTCGTCCGACCCGAGAAGCACAAGCCACGTGTGCTCGGAGGGAGGAAGCGAGCCAGGTGGACTCGAGGAGAGGGAAAGACTCCACAGCACCCCGAGCTGCCTGGGACAGCCCGCGCCGAAGCCAGGCCCCCCGACGCGGCGGTGAACCAGAGCCAGATGCCGACCATGCTGGAGAACATGGGCATGACCAAGTTCTCCGTGTGCCTCGGGCGCGGACCCCCCGGCCCTCTTCTGCGCCCGCTGGTCCTGGAGCTCCCCGGCGCCCGAGCCAGCGCCGCCGCCTGCCGCCGCCCTCCCGTGCCGCCCGCTTCTCCGTCCGCTCTTCGGCTGGGTGCTCGTGCTCCTCTGGCTCCTCGCGCTCTTGCCCCTTCCTCTTCCTCCGCCTCCCCGGCCCTGGTCGTCCTGTGCTGCATCCCCCCGATCTGTGTGGACGTCGCCCTTTCGCCCGCTCGTCCCAGGCAGGCTGTGGCGTGCCTTTGCGCGGCGTGCGGTGCGCGCCGTTGCGGTGTCGTGCCGGTCGTGCCGAGCCGTGCCGCGCTGCTCCAGGCTGGGTGTCTCTACCACCCTTCGCGCGGCCGCCCTCCTCTTCGCTCCTCCCTCTTGCACGCGGGACGATTCGCCTGTCCGTTGCCCCGATGAGCCCCGCGCTGGTGGGGACTGCCTCTGCCCAGCCGCCGACGGAACATGGATCCACCACCGATGCACCGCGGGCCGCCGGCGGCGGAAGCTGTCGGCCGCTCTCCGCCGCCTCTGGGGGGGGGGCCGAGGGTCGCCGCCCTCTGGAGCAGCGCGCTGGCTTCTGCGGGGCCCCCCGGCGAGCCGGGAGGAGCTCCTCCTCCTCCTCCTCCCTCCTCCTCCTCCTCCTCCTCTTCTCCCTCCTCCTCCTCTCTCCTCCTCCTCCTCCTCCTCCTCCTCCTCCTCCTCCTCCTCCTCCTCCCCCCCCCCCGCCTCCTCCTCCCCAGGCCCTGCGAGCTCCTCGCCTTGCCGTGGCGCCGAGCCGCCGCTGCTGGCGAGCCTCCAGCCGGGAAGCTGCAGAGCGCACGGCGCGCCCGGCCTCGGGCAGGAGCCGGTCGACCGCGCCTGCGGCCGCGCGTCTCCCCAGGCAGGCTCGCGTCGTGAAGGGGTCGTCGCGACGGGAGGTTCTCGTCGTCGCGACGGCCGGCTTCGTCCTCGGGGGGCCCTCGCTGGGCCCGGGCACCGTCCAAGAGCGACTCAGGATGTGCAGCGGGCCCCGGGGGAGTTGGTCGGGACGTCCGGGGATCCCGTGCGGAGAAGTCCAGGACAGCGCTCGTCTGGGTTTCCACTGCGCTCGGCCCTTCCATGGCCGGGTACGCCGACCATCCCCACGTTTTTTTTTTTTTTTTTTTTTTTTTGTTTTTGTTTTTGTTTTTGTTTTTGTTTTTGTTGTTTTGTTTGTTTTGTTTGGTTGTTTTTTTTTGTTTTCTGTTTTTTTTGTTTTTGTTGTCTTTAGTTTTTTTCTTGTCTGTTCTCTCCAGCGCGTGGCCTCTGGCTTTTCTGAATGTAAATCCAGCCATTCGATTACACGTGCTAGAGTGCCCCTTCGCCTGAGTGACCTTTGGTGCGGGTCCATTTGGGTCCCCCGAGCGCCGAACGTGATGCGATAGCAGCGTCTTGCGCGCTTGTGTTTGGCCCCCCCGCGGCCCCCCCAGAAGCCGCGCACCTAGGGTTCCTCTTACCCGGGGCCACTCTTGCGTGCAGCCGAGCCATGTGCGTGTCGAATTTTCTCGCACTCCTGCGCACACCTGTTCGGCGATGTGCGTCGGCGGTGCTGCCCGAGCCTCCGACCCCCTCTGCTCTTGACCTCAGACCTCTCGACCTCCTCGCCAGGGCCGGCTTTTCGTCGCGGGTCGTTTTTGACGGCACCAAGACCCGAGACCAGCTTCCAGCGGCCGCCGCGAGCTTTTCGAGGTGCGGGATGTCTGGGGTGCGATCTTCCGACCCCATCTGTCCCTCAGGGCTTGACGACTTGTCTCCGATCGACTTGCACGATCAAGCCAGGTAAATGGAGGCAGATCCATGTAAATCCAGGTAAATCCAGACATATCGAAGGAAATCCAGAGATCTCCAGGGAAATCTGGAGCAGATCGTGGCCGCTCCAGGACGACTCGAGGGACCGCAGAAGTCGTCAAGCCCTTAATTCACGAATCTGCTCCGGTTCCAGTTCGGCGGCTGGGGCGAATGGCCAGTCGCCGCTTTCGCCCCTCGCGAGCAGGCGGATGCCCAAGTCTCACGGCTACTTCGTGTGGAACGACACCGCGCTCGAGCGGCACCCCGCCAGCTTCGTGAGGGTGCCCGTGGAGGGCACGCAGAGCTGGACCGTGAGGCGGGGCCCTCAGATGAGCAACGGCGTGACGACGACTGTTTTGTGTTTCGTGTTTGCCTTGAGTCTCTCCATTGCTCTTGCGACCAGCCCGCGCCTGAGAGCCGTGGGTATCGTCCCACTCCTCGCTGGAGCTCGATCCCACTTTGGCACGGGCCGCCGTGGCCCCCTGCCCCGCGGCAGGAGCCAGCAGGCTGCGGGGGAAAAACACAAACAAACAAAACACAGCAACAAAAACACACAAAAAACAACAACAAGAAAACAACAATCAAACAAAAAAACAACACAACAAAAAACAACAAAACAAAAACAAAAAAACACAAAACACACACAGCAGGATCGCCCAAGGTAAGATGCTATTTCAGCCCCGCCCTGTGGTCCCAGGCCGCCAGGCAGCACGACGAGATCGCGGCGGCCGGCCTTTCCCTCAGGCCGTTGGAGGCTGCGCTTCAGACCCCAGGGCCTTCCAACAAAATGCCCCCGTCACGAAGCATTCGCGTCGGCCAGGCCCGTCGCGAAACATTCGCGTCGGCCGGGCCTTCCTCCTCAGCTCGGTCCTCTGGAGGCCCCCTTGCGGGCCCCTGAGCCGCCAACAAAATGGCGTGTCACGAGCAGCGCTGCGGCGGCCAGTCCCTTCCTCAGCCAGACATGCTCGCGTCGTTAGTGTAGCCGTTCATGGGAGCCTTCGCTTTATGTTATATCTTCTTTATTTTACAGCGGCCGTACCCTTTCCGTGTCACGTGTGTCTTGCCCTTCGTCGTTGGTGCCCGCGTTCCTTGTGATGGTAACCCCGTCTGGGTTCAGGGGTGTCGCGGGTCCGTCTGGGTACTTCCCCTCTCCGCCCTTCCTCGTCCACTCTTTCTGCCGCTGCCGTTGCCGCACCCGCCGTGCGGCGCGCGCTGTCGCCGCCTTGGCCGCCGCCGCCGTTGCCGTCGCCGTCGCCGTCGCCGTCGCCGTCGCCGTCGCCGTCGCCGTCGCCGTCGTCGTCGCCATCGCCTTCGCTGTCGCCATCGCCGTCGTCATCGCCGTCGTCGTCGCCGTCGTCGTCGTCGTCGTCGTCGTCGTCGTCGTCGTCGTCGTCGTAATCCTCGTCGTCCTCGTCCTCGTCGTCGTCGTCGTCGTCGTCGTCGTCGTCGTGAGGAGCGATTGCAAACGGTCTGATTCCCCAATTAGGGTTGCCTAAGGGGTTCTTACTCGGTTAAGGATTGGTGTCTCGGGACGCTACTTTGCCCGTTGCTCGGAGGTTCCCCGGGTTCCTCGGGTTCCCTGGGTTCCTTGCCCTGGTGCCTCGAGTGGCTATTTTGCCCGTTCCTCGAAGGTAGGTTCCCCGTTCCCTAGGTTCCTCGGGTTCCTCGGGTTCCCTTGGTTCCAGGGGTTCCTCGGGTTCCCAGGGATTCTCGGGTTCCTTGGGTTCCCCAGGTTCCTCGGGTTCTTTGGGTTCCTCGGGATCTTCGGGTACCCCGTGTTCCTCGGGTTCCTTGGATTCCTCGGGTTCCTCGGGTTCTCCGGGTTCCTCGGCAATGCCAAGCAATGCTAAGCAATGCCAAGCAATGCCAAGCAATACCAAGCAGTGCCAAGCAATGCCAAGCAATGCCAAGCAATGCCAAGCGATGCCAAGCAATGCCAAACGATGCCAAGCGATGCCAAGCAATGCCAAGCAATGCCAAGCAATGCCAAGCAATGTCAAGCAATGCCAAGCAATGCCAAGCAATGCCAGGCAACGCCAAGCAATGCCAATCAATGCCAAGCAATGCCAAGCAATGCCAAGCGATGCCAAGCAATGCCAAACGATGCCAAGCGATGCCAAGCAATGCCAAGAAATGCCAAGCAATGTCAAGCAATGCCAAGCAATGCCAAGCAATGTCAAGCAATGACAAGCCATGCCAAGCAATGCCAAGAGATGCGCCCAGCGATGCGCCCATGCAAAAGGTTTTCCCCTAATTGGGGCCGCCCCGGGGACATCGGGGCGTCCTCGCGACTCATGGCTGGACGCAAGCTCGAACAATTGACGGGAAGCCGGCTGCTTTCATAGGCGAGCACCGCCCAAGTCCGATGAATGTTAGGAAGAAAGCTTGCATTTGGCCCAGTGATTAATGCATCTCATTATATTTTTGTCCCGCGTCGCACTGGTGTCGTTCGTGTAGCCGTTCATGGGGGCCTTCGTATTACAAACCTCCTTCTCTACAGAGTCCGTACACTGCCCTTGCCACTTCCGCGCCGCATTCGCGCCCCCGCGGCCGTTGTGCTCTGATGGCGCTCAGCCCATGACGGCGTGCGTCGCGCGTGGGCCATCAGCTGCTCCACGCGTGGAACGGAAGTGAAACGAAAGTGTAACGAAAGCAAACGCCTAAGCGTAACGGGACGGCTCCCCTGAGCGCGCCTTCTCAGGAATCTTCTGGGGAGCCTCCGGCCCCCTCTGAGAAGTCCCCTGCCTTCTCATGATGCCTCCCCCCTCGCCCAAAGCCACTTTTATGCGCCGCCAGTCCTCCCTTCTTCCCTCCTCTTCCCCTTCCTTCTCCTGACATGGAGGAGGAGGAGTAAACAGGAAGGGCAGGAAGGAAGGAGGAGGACGAGGAGGAAGAAGAAGAGGAGGGGGGGGAGGAGGAAAACATAAGGCAACGACCAACGACAAGTTCACACATCCGACCGCTGTTGAAACAGGCGGCAAACATGGACAGAAACTATCTCCTGTGGCGTGTCGGGGCACGCCGCTTCCGTAGAGGCTTGCTGCGGGTACCATCTGGCCACACGGCCTTGCCCTTCCTTGAGGGGCCCTCCCAGCGCGGATTTTTTTCCAGGAGGAGGAGGAGGAGGAAAGAGGGAGGAGGCTGGGAGGAGAAGGAGGGAGGAAGGAGGGGAGGGAGGAAGGGAGGAGAGAAGGTGGAGGAGGAGCAGAGTAAGCCCAAGATGCATCAATGATGCTGCAATGCGCCCTCCCGTCCCAAGTCTCCTTCGCACAAGCGTCCCCGCAAGCCCTTCTGGCCTCGCTGCAAGCAGGGCCCCCCCATCGAAAGACCAGCGCCCCTGTGGGCCTGCCTTTTCTTATGCGACAGAGGCCAGGTTCGTGAAGGAGCTGCCTGCAGTCTTCCAGCGAGTAGTATTAAGTCGAGCGTGTTCCTCTACAGGAGGAGTATTTGAAAATAGTCAAACATAGTCTGGGGACGATTTTTCGACAATTTGAACATGCTCTTGAATCTTTTCTTGCGCGAATTTCAACTGTTCTTCCAACATCCGCGCGTTGGAGGACATGTCCTACCTGAGACTAGCATGGAGTGCGGAGAGGTTTGAGCACACAGCCCAACGAGTCGCCCAACGCTTTCCCCCAGAAGGGCCGCCCCGTCCGTGCAACGGCGGCATACAGTCGGGCCGCTGAAGAAGGAACCCTTTTCCGTTTGGGAGGGGCTCAGTGTTCCTTAGTTGTTTCACAGTGCTCCTTGGGTTTTCCTGAGCTATCCCATGGAACATCGGAGTTCAACTTATGGGAAACAGGGACCTCGTTCCTTATTTGTCGTTCCTTAGGTCAACGCCCCGGCTGTAGAGAGTTCAGACTCCTGGTCGTGACCTCCGGGGCAGTCTCCGGCGACGGACACACACACACACACGCACATCGAGAGCGGCACGCCTCCGTCCGTGCAGCTGTGGCGCGTGCTGGAGTCCTGTTTTTTTTTGTTGCTGAATCCCAGGGAGGCCTCGGACGATGTCCTCGGTCCGAGGAGGAGCCGTCATCCTCCCTCGTACGTGCTGCAGGCATTTTCAGACGAGGATTCCCTTCGGGGATCATCCGTTGAAATTGGAACGATGCAGAGAAGATTAGCATGGTCCCTGCGCAAGGATGACCCGCACACATCGCGAAGTGTACACACATCGAGAGGGGGACGGTAGGCGCCTCGCGACTGCCCGTCTACTTCCCCCTCCCCTTCCTCGTAGGGGGGAAGGGGGGACATCATCCTCCCTCGTACGTGCTGCGGGCATTTTCAGACGAAGGCGCGCGCCGCCACGGCCAGCGCCTCCTCTTTTCGAGCAGCCGGCCGCCTTCCGTCCCCGCAAGCTGCTGCAGCCCTCGGGAGCGACTGTGTGCGGCGCTCGGGTCAGGGCTCCCCTCTGAGACAGACCAGCCCTCCATCCTCCTCCTCCCCCTCCTCCCCCCTCCTCCCCCTCCTCCCCCTCCTCCTCCTCCTCCTCCTCCTCTCCTCCTCCTCCTCCTCCTCCTCCTCCTCCTCTCAAACTGCGTCTCCGGCCAGAACCCCAACTTGGAAAGGAGCCGCCCTCCATCCTTCTGCTGTAGCCCTCGGGGGCTTTTCGGGCCGGACGAAGGGGGGGGGGATAGGGAGAGGGGGGGGATTGAGAAGTTTGCTGCGTGCAGCTGCCTTCGGCCCCGCCGCCGGGCCCATCCCTCGCTACATGGGCGCCTCCCGGCGCCGGGAGGCGCTGGGAGAATCAGCTGCGTGAGCTGATTCTCCCCCCCCCCTTGCTATATCCCCCCCTTTCGCCCGACCCGATTCCAGCCCTCGGGGGCTTTGAAACGAATGTGCGCGGCGCTTGGGCGACAGCTCCATTCTGACAAAGGCCCGCCCCCGCGTTCTTCCAGCCGTGCGAACTTGGACCTCCCAGCCCGCCCTGCCGGCACGCCTGGTGGTCAGGCGAGGAGGAGTGAGCTGTCTACAAGGACAATGGATGGAGGAGGAGGAAGAGGACGAGGAGGATGAGGAGGAGGAGGAGGAAGAGGAGGAGGAGGAGGAGGAGGAGGAGGAGGAGGGGGAGGAGGGGTAGAAGGAGGGGGAGGAGGAGAGGAGGAGGAGCGGGAGGAGGAGGGGGAAGATAGATAGGAGCAGGACGAGAGATGAGAGGAGCGATAGAGAGAGAGAGAGAGAGATACAAAGAGACAGAGAGAGAGAGAGATAAGACAGAGACGACCGGTAGTGATAGAGAGGGAGAGAGAGAGAGAGGCAAGCTAGGTGGGCCACCCGCCACATATTACATCCTGTCCCTCCCTCCTATCCCTTCCCATTGCGCTGTGTGTTTCTTTTTTTCCGCGGACACGTGTCATGGCAGACCTAGAACTTCAAAACGATATCCCATCGTGCTGTGCGCGTGCATAGGATGAGCAGGAGGCAAAGGAGGAGAACGTGGAAGGAGGAGGACGAGGACGAACAGCATCAGCAGGAACTGGAGTGGAAAGAGCGGGAGGAGCAGGAGGACCAGGGGAAGGCGGAAGAGGGGAGCTGGGGTGGACTCGGATTCAGAGATGTGGCCCCCCGCCAGGGCAAGAGCGCCATTTGGAATCCGACAGTGAGGCCCACGCTGCAGCGGGAGCACGACTTCAAGACACTGGAGGCAATCGGATTGCAAACAGAGCATAGGAAAGACCACGTTTGCCTAATTCTGTATGTAAGATCAGGCGATCGCAAACATGGATCAATGGGGCGTGGATTAGCAACAGGTCCCGTTTCCATGGGAAATCGGGATTTCCGCCGCCGAACGAGGCGGCACCGGCCGCATTTTGGGGAGGGCACCTCCCCCGATCTATGGATTTGGCGACCGCGCGCCAAATCCATGAATCGCTAATCCATGTTTGCGCGCCCCCGATAAGAGGAAGTACGTGGAGAGAACTGGCCATCTTCTGGACGGCGTCAAGGGGGGAGAGGAGGGTAGTATTCATGATGTGTAGTTCTAGAGAGCAGGGAGGAGGAGGAGAAGGAGGAGGAGGAGGCGGAGGAGGAGGAGGAGGAGGAGGAGGAGGAGGAGGAGGAGGAGGAGGGAGGAGGAGGAGGAGGAGGAGGAGGAGGAGGAGGAGGAGGAGGAGGAGGGGTGAGGAGGAGGAGGAGGAGGAGGAGGAGGAGGAGGAGGAGGAGGGAGGAGGAGGAGGAGGAGGAGGAGGAGGAGTGAGGAGGAGGAGGAGGAGGAGAGAGGAGGGAGGAGGAGGAGGAGGAGAGAGGAGGAGGAGGAGGGGAGGAGGAGGAGGAGGAGGAGGAGGAGGAGGAGGAGGAGGAGGAGGCGTCCCCGTGGCCGCGCGGCCGCCTGGGGGCCCGCGAGGCTGTCGCAGGCGCAGCTGCTCTACAACCGCGTGCCCATCGACGTCGGCTGTACGACCGCGGACCGGCCCTCCTCCTCCCCTCCTCCTCCTCCTCCTCCTCCTCCTCCTCCTCCCCCCCCTCCTCCTCAAGGTATTCATGTGCCTGTTTCCCTGCTGTCCAAGATGTGGACGACCGACCAGCCCTCCCCGTGCTGCTTGTCGATGCTCGATACGATCGAAATCGGTGATAGTCGGGGGCGGAAAAGAGGGGGGTGATGACTAGGGGGGGGGGTGGATATCATGGCGGGGGCCACGACATTTCCCCAGATCTCATGGCGCCCCTTCTTGTTTCATTACGTCCGTGGCCCCCCCGCTGGGCCGCGCACATGCCGCCGGTCATGATTTGCACCCCCCCCTCTTGGACACCCCCCTCTTGGCCGCTCCCGAGATAGGGGACGAAGACTGACATCAGTTCCTGTCCATTGTGGACAGGACTCTCTGTCGTCGTCGCCGCGGACGTCGCCCATCCGAGACAAAGAGGCGAAAGTCCAAGAACAGCGTCCGCTGTCGGTTCTGAACATCACAGTCGGACCGAGGTATACGATCGAGGTCGGTTCGGGGAGGGTACCCTCGTGTTCTTCTTGTTTGTTGGATGTTCTTGTGTATCCTGGGGAGGGTACCCTTGGATGTTCTGTTTGTTTTGGTCGACGGAGGGTCTCGTGTTCTTGAAGGATGTTCTTCTGGCCTAGGTCCTACTATATCTGCTGTTGAGTATCGTGCTATACCCGTTTTTTTTGCGCCCCTGCCAGGCTTGCCAAGGTGTGGCCGAATCGGAGGGGCGTCGAAGGGTTGGGGGGAGGACTAGGGGCGTGTGGATATCATGGTCGTGGCCATGACATCTTCTACAGTCGGACCGAAGTGTAAGATGTAAGATCGAGGTCGGTCCGGTGTGAGGGTACCCTGATGTTCTTCGTGCTTCTCGGATGCTCTCGTGCATCCTGGGGGAGGGTACCCTCGAAGGATCTTGGGGCTTGGGCTGCTCTGGCCGGCGGAGGGCCTCATGTTCTTGAAGGATGTTTTTCTGGCCTAGGCACGACTGTACATTTCATGGCCCCGTACGGCAGGTTCATGCGGCGTTGGCGCGCCCGCGACGCAGAAGCACCGAGGGACACGGTGACGCCACGGGACCCGATGGAGTTCAGCCTCGAACGATCGGGGCCGCGATCGATTCAGGGTTAAAACGATTGACGCGGTGTCAAGGACCTTTGCTCGCGCCGACGCCGCACGAACCTGCCGTATTCTTCTTTCAGTGCGCCCCCTGACCTCCACGTCTGGCGCACAGGCGCCGGACGTGGTTGGCGCTCTTCTGTCAGGAGGGAAAGAAACACACAGACACAATTAATCGTCGATTCCCCAGAAACTATGGGAAAATATGGGAAGTGGGGGGGAAGACCAAAACCCAGAAAACATGGGAACATATGGGGAGCATTTTTATCTGTGTGCATTTGTTTGTGTGTCCCAATTCCCCATCATTCTAGGCCCCTTGTCGGCGTCCGGAGAGGTCGTCGTCGGGCCCCATGGGGAGGGGCTCGCCAGACAGGCCTGGGACAAGGTGTTCGATTTCTTTATTCGTTGCTTTGCCGATCGGCGCGGGCCCTCTTGGCTTAGATTAGATCTTGGCTGTTTTGGATTTTGGCTTAGATTAGATTAGATCTTGGCTTAGATTAGATTTTGGCCCTCCCCCCACCATGGAGCAGATCTTGGCTGTTTTTGGCGCCTCTTTCGGGCAGGCGGAGTCCCCCGTGGGACGCACTGCTGCAAAAGATCACGGTGAGCGGAGGTCCGGAGCCAGACCACCTCCCCTCTCTCCCCTTCCGCCCAATGTCGAAACGCCGAATCAGCAAACGTTCACAAACTGAGCTCGCTCCAGAGTGTTCTGGAATGCTCTCAGTGCGCTCTGGAGCTCTGGAGCGCTCTGCAACGACCGCGGCGCGCGACACGTCGTCCAGGCCCGCAAGCTCTCAGAGATTACCAACCTGCCTCGCTTAGGTTTTATTCAAGAGGCTTACGCCATTCCGCCGACCCTCAGAAGAGGCGGGGAGTCCACGGTTGAGGCGCCTTGGGCTTCTTGGGCACTCTACAGTCGGGGCCCTGAAGAAGGAACCCTTTTCGTTGGGGAGGGGCTCCGTGTTCCCCAAGTGTTTCGCAGCTTGCCTTGGATTTTCCTTAGGTTTCCGACGCGAAATCGAAGTTCAACTTATGGAAAATAGGGGCCTCGTTCCTTATTGAATCGCTTCGCTCATTCCGCCGGCCCATTTCGCATGACTGAGCCTCTTGGGGCCGCTGTGGGGCCTCTTCAGCGTCGCTTGGGGGCCTCCTGAGGGCCTCTTGGGGGCTTTTGGGGCCTCTCAGGGGCCTCTTGAGGACTCCTGGGGGCTTCTTAAGGCCGAGGGCTCGAAGTTTTGTTTTGTGTTCCCCCTTTGGGGCATCGCTTGGGGCCCTCTTGGCCCCCTCTTGGGCCGTCTTGGATGCCTCTGGGGCCGTCTTGGAGCCCTCTTGGGCCATCTTGGGGCCTTCTTGGGAGCTTCTTGGGCCCTCTTGGGGCGATCTTGGGGGCCTCTTGGGCCGTCTTGGGGAGTCGGGAAGCCGAAAAGATGGACACGCCCAAATCTGCCCAAAACCTAAGGAACAGTAATGAATTTTGCCTCTTGGGGCCCTCCGGGGAGTGCTCTTGGAGGCCTCCTGGGGCGTCTGAGGGCCATCTTGGGCGTCTTGGAACGATCGTGTGGCATCTCGGAGCACTCTTGAACCATCTTGGAGGGCTCTTGGCGGCCTCGTGGCCCTTCTTGGGGCTCTCTGGAGGGCCACGGGGCGGCGCCCAGGAGGAAAACCATCTCTGACCCGAGTCTGCCGGGGATCGCCCGGGGTACTTTTCGTCCGGGGACCCCCAGGGGCCGCCCCGCGCGCGCGAAGTAGAAGTATTATTTAACAGTTACCGGAGATCTTAGCACGCCTCTGGCCCGTTGGGGGGCCTCGTTCCTTATTTAGGGTTCCTTAGGTCAACGCCTCGACTCTACCTGGGGACTCTCGCGGGTGTCTCAGGAGCTGCTCGGGGGCCTGGCGGAGCCTCTGGCAGGCAGCTCCGCAGCGCCTCCGGGGCCGCCGCTCTGCCTCGCTCGGGCTCTCTCTCTTCGTCCTGCCCTCGGCCCTGCTCGAGACCTCCTCCCCTTGGCATCGCTCGGACGTGTGCATTTTTCCTTCGGCGAGGACCATCGAGGAGCATCCTCGATCATTTGGCGACAAAACTACGCACGAAACCAAAGAAAACGCAGGAAATGGACGTCCGAGCGATGGCCAGTCCCCCTCCCCCTCCCGGAAGGCCAGCACCAGAGGGACGCTCGGAGGCTCGCGCGGGCGCCTTTAGGGGGCCACATGCGAACCCTACCCCTACCCCCCACGATTTCTGAGGGGGAGGGTGGGGTTCACTCCCTTCGGGAGCTCCCGAGCAAAGTGAACCCCACCCTCCCCCTCAGAAATCGTGGGAGGTAGGGGTAGGGTTCGCATGTGGCCCCCTAGCCTTGGGCCCGCGCCGGCCCTCCCCCGTCCCCCCCGTCCTCCCCGCCTTCCCGGGCGGCGCCTCTCGGGGGCGCCGCCCCCGGAGTGCTCCTCCTGCGCCGCGGAGGAGGCTCGGGCGGGTGGTCATTGGGGGGCGGCCCAACCAGGGGGCGAGGAAAAGGGCCTGAAGGGGCCTCCTCCTCCTCCTCCGCCTCCGTCCTCCTCCTCCTCCTCCTCCTCCTCCTCTTCCTCCTCCTTCTCCTTCCCCTCCTCCCCCTCCTTCCCCTCCTGCTCCTCCTCCCTCCTCCTCCTCCTCCTCCTCCTCCTCCTCCTCCTCCTCCTCCTCCTCCTCCTCCCCTTTTGGAGCCAGCAGGGGTTCAGAAGGGGCCTTCAGGGGCCCCTTCAGGTCCCTTTTCTGCACCCCCCCCATTCGGGTCACCCCCCACGGGTCACCGCGCCCGAGAGGCGTGGTCGGCGGCGAAGCCCGAGCCCTGCCCTCGCCTATCCTCCTCCTCCTCCTCCTTCTCCTCTCCTCGACCTCCTCCTCCTCCTCCTCTCCTCCTCTCCTCCTCCTCCTCTCCTCCTCCTCCCCTCCTCCTCCTCCCCCTCCTCGCTCCCCCCCTCGCCGTTGCCCCCCCCCCCCCCCCCCTTCCAGGGCGAAACTTGCTCGAGCTCAAGCCCACACCCTTTGAAACTCACACGGCGCATCGGCGGATGTGTGAAGCCGCGGCAACGAGGGATCGCACTGCAGTTTGCCACAGGAGGAATCAATCTGCGACACCTTCCCGAGTTGTATTCGTTGCTGGACCATCACATAAGTAATTGTTGTATGGCCGCCAGACAAGAAAGCTGAGTGCAGACAGAAGGGGCGGCCTTATAATAGAGCCGCCACACAGGGAATCCGTGACAAGGCCGCCGCAAAGGAACTAGTTTTGCAACCCGCGCAAAAAATAGCTCCCATGTAATGCCGACTGTCGAAATCTATCTGTAAGGCCGCCGCATAATAATCTAGATGTAATGCTGAGACAAGCTGAGATTCATTTGTAGGCCGCCACACCATTCATCGCTGTGCGCTGTGCAACCCGCCGCACAGGAAAGTAACGTGCAATCAGTCCAGCCAGAACTCTCTGAGTAGTGCAACCATGGATGATTTTTGAATGTGGGCCACCACAGAAGAAGTCCATGTGCGAGGCCACCACACAACGAAATCAATGTGTAGGCCACCACAAAACATGTCACTGTGGGCCACCGCCAAAAGCGGAATCCATATGTAGCGCCACCAGAGGGAATTCGACTAGAATCTCCGCGCAAAGAGTCCAAGTGCAACCCGCCACAGAAGAAACGCTGTTTATTCCGACAAATGGGATCCTTTGTGTATTCGGCGATAGAGGGAATTTGTCAGGAATCCCCCGCAACGATACATTCATTTGTCATTTGTCACACAGGCTCCACTGTAACGTATTCTGCGATGTTATGCAAGGGAACAGACGACACATTGTCTGTCATAAGGGATATGAGCATATTCAGAAACTGACAACCGATGTAACGAGTAGAGAACATCAGCAATCTGTAAAAAAAAGGTGTTGCACGCATGACTTTACCAGTCGTCGCCCACCCCCGCGAGTACGGCTTGGCAAGCTGCTGGGGGGGACGGACGGCTAGGGGGAGGAGGATGAGTGGCAAGAGGGAGGTGGAGGAGGAGGAGGAGGAGGAGGATGAGGATGAGGATGAGGAGGAGGAGGAGGAGGGCGAGTGTAAACCCCAGACGCATCAACGGTGATGCAAACAATTTTTCCTCCAAGTTCCCTCTCCAGAGATCCCTACAAGAATGTGTTTTCAGTGTGAGAAGGGCCTCATCAAACGACAACCGTTTGAGAATCTCCACTTGTGCCAAAACGCCATTCCTGGGGCTTCAACGCCGTGGATCAACGTGAATGTTGCGTCCTGACAACTCCAAATCTTTCCAGAATGCCATCCCTGGGACGTCAACTGTACGAATCTTCGAAGCAGTAGTAAACTTTAAGACGAGTGTGCGCGGCGCTCAGGCGAGAGCAACATTCTTGAAGTTGTTGGTTGCAATTTTTGAGACGAATGTGCGCGGTGCTGCGGCAGGAGCCACATGTTGAAAGCCCCTTGGGCAGTCTTGGAGCGTCGGAAGCCCAAAAGGCGAGAACGCCAACATCCTTCAAACCAAAACAATGATTTTTGCCTTTGGGGGGCTCTCTTGGGAGACCTCTTGAAGGCCTCTTGGGGCGCCTTGGAAGTGCCTTGCGACATCTTGAGGCCATCTTGGGCGTCTTCGGGCGATCGTTCGGCGACTCGGGGCCCTCTTGGACCGTCTTGGGGGCCTCCTGCCGTCATGGAAGCCTTGGAGAGCCCTAGGGAGGCGCCATGGCCGCGGAGTATGGCCCGGGCGCGCGACAAGGTGCGACCCAGAGGGGGGGGGTGCCCTAGAAAATAGCGAACACCGTAGTAGACAGCACTTTGCATTCTACCACGCCTCAACGTGCCAGGGGGCACGGTGGCGGAGCACCCAGACAGCTCAGGAGAGCCCCAGGACGACTAAAGACGGGCCAAGAGGGCCCCAAGAGACTCCCGAGAGCGCCCAAGGAGGCCCCCCAGCGGCCCAAGAAAGCCCCAAGACGGCACAAGATGGCGCCGAGACGGCCAAAGGAAGCTCCCAAAGAACCCAACGACGCGCTCATACAGTCCAGGAAGACCCCAGAAGCCCACAAGCGGACCCAAGAGGCCCCCAAGAAGCCCCCAATAGGCCCCTAAGACAACCCCGCGCGGCGCCAGGAGCTCCCAGGGTAGCCCGATAGGGTCACCAGGGCCCTCTCCTGATTCAACGTCCTTCTCCAATTGCCTCTTACTGTCCTCCGTCGTCGTCGTCGTCGTGATCGTCCTCCGCATTCCTCCTAGTACACGCCCTCGTTCTCTTCGTCCTCGTCCCTGTGCTTCTCTTCCTCCTCGTTGTCCTCATGCCCCTCCTCGCCATCCTTACCTTCTCCAAATCGTCCTCGTCATCGCCTCCTCGTCGCCCTCGCCTTCCTTTTCTCCTTCTTCTTCTTCGCCCACTGAGCTCATTGGACTAAGCGGCGCTTCCCGTTCTTGTCCGATCAGGTTCAACTTCGCCTCAACGTGCCAGGGGGCACGGTGTCGGATTCAGAACGAAAAGGGATGGAGGGGGAGGAGGAGGAGGAGGAGGCGGAGGAGGAAGTGGAGGAGGATGAGGAGGAGGAGGAGGAGGAGGATGAGGAGGAGGAGGAGGGGAAGGAGGAGGAGGAGGAGGAGGAGGAGGAGGAAGAGGAGGAGGAGGAGGAGGAGGAGGAGGAGGAGGAGGAGGAGGAGGAGGAGGAGGAGGAGGAGGAGGGAGGAGGAGGAGGAGGAAAAGGAGGAGGAGAACAAGGAGGAGGAGGAGGGGGGGGAGAAATGGGAGGAGGAGGATGCTGCTGCTGCTGCTGCTGCTGATGATGATGATGATGATGATGATGATGATGATGATGATGATGATGCTGATGGCGATGCTGCTGCTGCTGATGATGATGATGCCGATGATGCTGATGCTGATGATGATGATGATGGTGATGCTGCTGCTCATGATGATACTGATAAGGACGGCGATGATGATGCTGATGATGCTGATGATGCTGATGATGCTGCTGATGATGCTGCTGCTGATGATGATGATGCTGCTGACGATGATGATGATGCTGATGATGCTGAGGATGATGATGCTGATGGTGATGATGCTGCTGCTGATGATGATGATGATGCTGGTGCTGGTGATGATGATGATGATGCTGCTGCTGATGATGAAATGATGATGATGATGATGATGACGATGACGATGATGGTGATGCTGATGATGCTGATGATGCTGATGATGCTGATGCTGATGATTGATGATGATGATGATGATGATGATGATGATGATGATGATGATGATGATGATGATGAGATGATGATGATATGATGATGATGATGATGAGGAGGAGGAGGAGGGGAGGAGGAGGAGGGGAGGAGGAGGAGGAGAGGAGGAGGAGGAGGAGGAGGAGGAGGAGGAGGAGGAGGAGGCGGAGGAGGGGAAATGCGCTATTCGGACCCTTCATGACAAGAATATGCGGAAGAGGAGGAACGTCACACAACAGGCTCTCACCAAGTCGGAATCGAGCTTCACAGCGCTGTAGCCGTTCTCTTGGCTCCGCTGCTGTAGTAAATGTGCGTTTATGACCTTCTGTCGCAGTCCTCCCTCGACCTACTACACTGGGCAGTGCACTATGCGGTCGCAGCCTAAAAGGGGTGACATTTATGCACGGGTCAATTCAGTAAAGGTTGGCCTGGCATCCAGAAGGTTAATAATCCAAGAATTCCACCCCCCTCCCTCCACCCTCCTTCCCCTCCCTTCTCCATAGCCCCTCCCTTCCTTCTCCCCCATCATCCCTTCCTCCGTGCCTCCGTCCCTCAAGCCGCGCTCTCTGTGTGCCCGCCGCTGCCTTCTCCTCCTGCCCCTCCTTTTGCTTCTGCTGCTGCTGCTGCTCCGTATCCTCCTCGTGCTGCTGCTGCTGCTGCTGCTGCTCCCTGTCCACCTCTCCTCCTCTTCCTCGTCCTCGTGCTGCTTCTGGGGAATCCTCCTTTCCTTCGTCCTCTCCCTCCTGGAAGGAAAAGAGGGGGAGTGCCCTGTGGAGGACTGCGCCGGCTTGGTAGACAGCGGCACTTCGCTGCTGATGCTGCCCACGACGACGGTGGACCGTCTGATGGAGGCGCCGCATCTTGCGGCCTGCTGCGTCTTCGTCCAGTGCAAGAGTGGCAGCAAGCAGCGACATCCTTCCTAGAGGGCGACGGGGCGGAACGTAGTAGCAGCGAGTAGTCGGCTGGCGCTGCCTTCTGGTAGGAACTCGCCGAGCCTAGACCTAAACCGTTTGTGCTTGCTCGTGCCGCCATTCCCTGCTATCCAGACGCCGCGAAACACCACCCACCAAACCACCCCAACCCAACCCGAAGGCTCAGATTTACCCTCGATTTCTAGTAGGGGGGGGTCGGGAAACATCGAGAAAACACGCGTGGAACCCGTACCCCCCCCAACCCGAAATTCGGGTCTTCGGGTTGGGTTGGGGTGGTCTGGCAGGTAGTCAGCGAAACACAACGTTGCCATGATCTCTCGGTGCGCTCTGGGCCCCGGGGCCGTCGCGCAGCGGCCGCCCGTCGCGGCTCGACCTGGCCCGAGAGATCGCGCGCAGAGGCGGAGTCGCGAGCTCCAGGGGGTCGTGACTCGTTCACGACGTCGGCCGCCGGGCTCTAGTGGCCCTCATCTGCACGGTGATTCTTGGTGGTCTCCAAACCAGGTGGTGAGACACCCGGTGGTGACCCCGATTCCCCCAACAAATAATTCTGGGTCACCACCGGGTTTGGGGACACGCGGTCGCCACGAGGTTTTGCGTTTCCTGGGCCAGCCAGCGCTCGAAAACCATTACCCAAATCGCCCAAAACTCACCACCGGGTGTTCTCACCACCACGTTTGGGGACCACCAAGATTCCCAGGAGGGTCCGCACGTGGGGCTGCTCGGCTTCGTGCTGTTAGGTTGCCGGGGCAAGGGCCACCGTGGGTTCCGGAAGGGGCTCTGGTATCTGGGCCGCTCTTGAGGTATCCAGGTCGGCGAACCCCTTCGTGGCCGAGGCTCGCCGTGGGAAGCTCCTTAGCTCCTCATGCAGAGCTTCTTGTGGTAGCACGCTGACCATACGAAGTCGGGCCCAAATCTTGCTAGATGATGGCTTCGTGCCGCAAGTTTCTGCACGGGCTAAGCTGTTGCGTGTTGACTTGCCCACTGCAGGTTGGCCCTCGCGTGACTTCGGGTTTGATTGGTGCATTTCGCTGGTGCCATAGTTAAGAAAGATTCGTGATCGATGCGACGAAAACAAATCATGCTGGTATTTGATGGCAGCGGGAGTCTTTGGTTCAGACCTCGAGAGCATTTGGCGGCGAGCCCAGGGGGGAAATCAGAGGGGGCGGGTCTTCTTAGAAGGCTCGGAAGGCCTCGGGCCTTTAAGAAGTTTCTCAGCCTTCCCCCAATACGCAGACGGCTGCTCAGAAGGCCGGAGGGCTTCTGAGAAGCCCCGCCGCCTTCCGATAAGGTCAGCCCCTTCTCATTTCCCCCCGGGCTCGCCGCCGGTACAGTGGTTCGTGATTGTTGCGATGGGGCAGAACATCTTGGCGTCTGATGGCAGCGGGAGTCGTGGGTGCAGACCTCGAGTCGGCGGCGAAATCCGAACCCTACCGTCGCCGATCAACGATTCAGGCAACTCGATGGGCGGCGGGGGTAGGGTTCGGCATTCGTCGAACGCGTTGCGATATCCGAACCCCACCCCCGCCTCCCATCGATTCAGCAGAGTCGATAGTTGGTGGGGGTAGGGTTCGGATGCCGCCACTTATCGTTGCGACGGAACAAAACATCTTCGGATCTGATGGCAGCGGGAGTTGTTGGCTCAGACCTCGATAGCATGGTCGGGCCCACCACGCAGGACCGCTGGGCCTTACTAGCCTGCCGATTTCCGCCGATTCGTCCTGACTTGGCTGCCGATTTCCGCTGATCCGATGCGTTTCGATCGCCGATCAGACTTTTTGGGCCGGGCTTTGCTGGCAGCAGCGCAGCCTTCAAACTGGTGACTCTGTTCTCCTTGGCGAACCCCTGCGATGGTCGGCCACCATCTGCAAATCGAGACAGCTGACCAGCGCACAAGTAGCCATGGAAGCTGAGAAGCGACTCGTGACTCGTGCAGACACGATTGGCATTGGCCAGGGTGGCTCCCGAAAGGACGCCCTGAAACCTCGGGACGATCGGGGCAGACACTCGTAGGGACTGCTCGCTTGGAAGCAGGCTGGGCTGCGGACTCTGCTGTCTGGGCGGCCTGGGTGTCTCGTTCACTCGGACTGATAGTATCCTGCAAACTTCACCGCTCTTCCACTCTGGCTCTGATTCGATCTTCCAGTGGCTTGATATGAGCAGCACCGCATCTGTGCTGTCGGCGACGGGGGACTGAAGTCGGTGCTTGGGTCGGTCGAGATGTTGTTCAAAGCCCCTGCTGGTTCGCAAGAATCAGCCTCCATCTGCAAGGCTTCGCCCTCTGCCGCGATCTCACTCTATGAAGGTGGGCTGTGTCAGAGCTATGTTGGGATGCCTGGGCGCCGACTTGAAGCAATATCGGAGCCTCATGCGAGGGCGGCTGGTAATCTTGACGTCATTTATGAGGGATCGTGGCCTCGGGGCGCGAAGCTGGTGTACTTTGCAGGGGATCGTCGCCTCGGGGGCGCGAATCTGGTGTGATTCGCAACGGCCCCAGGCCCTGTCCTATGATTCGCGCCGCTGCGCCCCGCAGCGAAGTTTCAGGACGAGCAGAATGAGGAGGAGCAGAGGAGGAGGAGGAGGACCAGAATGAGGAGGAGGATTCGGCTGAGCGGCCCTGGTGTAATCTGCAACGGGTCGTGGCCTCGGGGGCGCCACTGTGGTGCACGCTGCGGGGGACCGTGGCCTCGGGCGCGCGAGCGTGGGGCAAAGTAGGAGGGGGAGGAGGAGGAGGAGGAGGAGGAGGAGGAGGAGGAGGAGGAGGGTCGAAGCTCACGCTCTTTTAACTCACACGCCGGATCGGCGGATTTGCCAGAGGACTTTGGGGTTCATACGCTTCCAACCTTGTCTGCGTGTTGGGTGTCCCAGGACTGCCCCAGGGACACACGGAGACAACCCTTTGCATTGTTAGTGGGAAGCCCCAGAAGATCACGTGCTATTGTGAACACGGATGGATGGTTACGGCAGGTTCGTGTCGTGTCGATGGGTTCCAGGTTGAACGCCGCCAGTGGCCCAGAATCGGCCGATAGGGAATGATTTGGCGATCGAAGAACCGCTGATCGTTAATAGTTGAACGATCCACGCGTGCCAGAAACCCACGCTGGGTGCGTCACGACACGAACTTGCCGTACTGAGATTGCTCCTGCCTTTGGCATTCCTGATTTCTATTTGGCGTGCACCCCCATGTCTGTCCAGTGTGGGGCTGCTGCAGCGTCCGCGGTCGCCTCCCTCTGCGCAGGCAGTGAACAGCCTGAATCCCAACTGCAGCAACATTGACGACTTGCCCCACCTGGCATTCTACTCTCTTGTTTTTTGTCATTGCCCTGCGAATGCACGGATATCTTGGAATCTGCTAAGCATGCATTGGTGCAATGT